CTGGACCCATGGGTCTGGTCATCTTGTTCACTTCTCTCAGGTCGTGGACGAGACAATAGCCTTGTCCGGGCCTTTTGGGGACCACGAATACCGGAGTGTTCCAAGGGCTGGTGGAGGGTTCTATGTGACCCTTTTGCAGTTCTCGGTCGACCTGTTCCTGCAAGGCTGCCATTCGAGGCTCTGTCAGGGGCCTCTGCTCAACCCATACAGGGTCTGATGATTTCCAAGTCAATTTGATTGACAGCGGGGGGTGTACAGCAGTGGCCCTCGTGGTAAATTTGTCATCCGAAATCCGAGCAAGGAGAGAACGTCCCTTCCTAACAGGGGTGGAGAATTCTGCAAAATTGACTGCTCCCTGTGGGGGCATAGGGCTTGAGGGTCCCCTGCCCCACTGGGGGTTGCTGTAGCTGGGCCGTCTCGCATTTGCAGCGGGAGGAGGCTGAGTGTGGCCCGCGCGCCCCCTCCCTCTCCCGTTTCCCCGGGGCCGGGATGCTTGGAGTGAGGGTGCTGCCAGGGAAAGCTGTGCTCGCTGACTAGCTGTCCTTCCCCGGAAGCCTGGGCTAACACGGTCGTCTTGCCATTCCTGCTTAAATGCAATCCGCCCCGCCCCATCAAAAAGCATGCGGCTTATTTGCGTAATATCAAAATTGAGCAGATCGTTATTGCTAGAAAGGCCGTCCTCAGGAGTGGGTACTACAACTGAGTTGATCCCTATTTCTGAAATCCCTTTGGCTTCTTTTGGGTTAACTGGGGTATATGCCCTTTGTTGGTTCCCCCGCGCTCCGGCAACCCCCCCTGGGAAAGCGTGCATGGAGGCTGCCGGTGCCCGGTCCCCACAGGCTGCTTTTATTTTCCCCCATCGGTGAGTTTGTGTTGCGATTGTTTCCCGATATTGTTTAAAGCTTTATTCGGTTTCGCTCGAAACCGCATTAATTCTGCTCTCTCGGTTTCCGAGTCCCAGCCGGGCTCGGTCGGCACTTCCGAGCTGTCTGAGCAGCTGTTACTTGACTCTGGGCCGGAAGCTGAATGCCGGTACCCTTCCGGCGCTCCGTGCCGTTTTGTGCGGCTCCGACCCCGCTCCTCCCTTTGGGGGTGGTGCCGCTCCCTCCCCCTGGGGTCCCCCCGCCTCCTGACGGGGGAGGTCCTTGCCCTATAAGGACCTAATTTGAATAGAGCGCTCTGGTTGGTCTGACACTCTACCGCGGGGACCGCCCCCCCCCCCCTCCCCGCTCGCCCGCGCATGCGTTGTTAAGCAGCCTGACGGCATTTCCTCCTCCCTTCCGCCCTCGCCATGTGGTTCGGCGCCATTTTTAAACGCACATGGCGGGGGCGAGTTTTTACCGATCCCGGCAGGGTCCGACCATCCGGCCGCGTTCCGCGCCTTCTCCGCGGGTCCCTGCCAGAAGCATCGCGCGCGCTGCTCTGCCTCTTGTGCTGGATCGGCGACCGGCGGGGAAGGGACGGATAGAGAAACTGCGGTTTTCTCGGATGGTTCCGCGGGGGGGCTAGGACCCGACGGGCTCCGTGGGAAGGTCGGGGGGTTCCCTGGGGGTTCCGGGGGGTCTCCTGGGGGCTCCGGGGGGTCTGGGCTCGGGCTCGGAAAGGGATGGAACGCGCCCGGCCCCCGCATGTTCCCGCCGTCAATCCGATCGCTCTCAGAGGCGGTTTGTGTCGCGGCCCCCACCCCCGGCTTTGCTGTAGCTAATAAACCTGTACACGCGGCTTTCCGCGTCTCCTGTTCTTCTAACGTCTCGCGTAGGGTCTCTTCTACTTTCCCCCACGCTCTGAGGTTTTTACCTCTGCCTGCGGACTTAGAGTCCTCTGCTGAGGCGGCAGTACACGTCTCCCGCGCTCCCGAATATAATATTTTTACCGGACGTCCGATCGTCCCCAGCTCTAGGAGCCTTGCAATAGCAAGATTAGAGTTCCTGAGCTCACCTTTAATTCCCCATTGCTCATGAGCCTGACTTACGACCTTCGCTGTGGATTCCATGGTCCACGCTGGTCCGGAGGCGTCCCTCCCGCTGTAGTCGGACCCGCCGCTACAGCCGCCGCCCTCTGACCAGGAGAATTCCCGTTCCCCGGGCGCTGCAGCAGTCCCGGGTTTCGGCACCAGTATGTTGCCTTCTGAAGCAAGGCAGGCGACCTGGTTCTGAGGAAACGGCACGGCAGCCCTCTCACTAGGGCCACTCGGGCCAATGACACACGCAGACATCAATGTGATGGACGGTCAAAAGGCGTTTATTGTCTCATCTCTTGGGTTTTTATAGTCTAAGGGGTCTCTACGTCAATGTGGGTCTGTCTTTACCATCTATGGTTAGTAAGAGGTGGACTGTTACTGGGTAGGGGATGGAAAGTTACTGGAATTTGGTTAGGAGGGTTACATTCCTATGTTAGTTTCTTATCTATGGGAAGCAGATGGTCTTATCTAAGGGGATCTGAGGGTCCTGGCTTTCCGTGACATCGCGAGATCTTCCGCAGCGCCTCTCCCTGTCTACCACAGTACTGACCAGTTATTTTCCTGGCTGGAGGGTCTAGCAGCCCTCAGGTGGGCTCAGTGTGTGTGAAGCCAGGCTCTGCAGCCCTGGCATGTGGTGACAGGAGGAGCAAGGTGCCTCCTCCACTGCTGGAGCAGCTGGAGGAGCACAGGAATAGGCCTGTGGGCTACGAGCTTTTGTCCTGTGCACATCATGAGCTTGGGATTTCCCTGCCTCAGCTGCTCACTGAATTCTAGGATCAGCAGAAGTAGCTGCACCAATGTGCCTTTGAGATGGAGGTTTAAGTTGGGATGGCCTCAGGAGGTCTCCAGTCCAGTCTCCTAGCTCTGGCTCCAGGCTGGAGCAGCTGTGAAGTCAGAGCAGAATGCTCCAGGCTTTGTCCCATCAGGTGTTGAAAGCCTCCAAGGATGGAGCCTGTACAACCACACAGCCTGTTCGTCTGCTTACTGTCCTCAGGGTACAGAAGTTCCTCCTTTTATCCAGATTAAAGCTCCCATTTTTTATTTTATTTCAGTTTTCCTGTATTAAGTGATACAGAACTTTGCCACAAATAGAAATAGTATGAACAGCAGCTTGCTTTTCCTTTGCTTTTGAAAGAAATGCAGCCCTCTCTTTTCCTCTCATTTCTGGGGTGTGCATAGGATGTGGAGTCTGCTTTTGCTTTTTCCAAAGCACGTCTGTGTCTCAACGAGTTTTACCTGGAGATTTTCTCCTGCAAACCAAAGCATGGAGAATAATTAACAGTGGGAAATTATGTAACTGCTGAGAGAAACAATGGCTCTTCTGTGGGCCTGCAAGCAAGCTGCCAGGAGCTCTGCCTCTTATTCATCACGTAACATAAAATTAGTTAGAGGATTGTCACAATGCGGAGTTTAAATCAGTAAATCGTGTGCTTTAACTGAGATTTCTGCACTTCCTTTTCCCGTTATTGCTTTGTAAATGCTGCTGTATGGTTCCAGCTCTTGGACCTGTAGCTTTCTTCTCAGGTCTTACCCAGTGCAGTGGAAATCAGATACCCTGCAGCCCTCAGCAGGAGAATGAATAAATGGAATAAGCAGAAGAGTCCAATTGCTAAATCGTGCTTGCTGCTAGTAGAGATTGCCATCAAGGGCATGGTGCAGTGTAAGTAACTGTAGAATACCTACACTAGCCAGTGTCACCAGCTGGCCATCAGGTGACTCCAGGAAAAACACCAGGCTATTTCTGACACACGGGGGGCATGGCAAACACAGCGTGGTCAGAGCAGCTGGGCTGGACAGGAGCCTGAGGATGCTGCCTGGCCCAAGGAGAGCAGTGTGAAAGCACCTCCTCTGTAGGACAAAGTGCCCTTAGAAAAGCATTTCAGGGTTCTTTTCTTCAATTCTGACTCTACATTTACATACCTGCTTTGGGGCAGTTTCTGTGATTTTGTCTAGTAAACGGGTCCTCAGTGTTTTTAATTGAAGGATGCTAATGGATGAATTTTATTCATCCCAGCTGCAAGAGCAATGGTTGGGATAGAGCTCATCCTTAGAGGATTTCAATAGATAACAAGTCTGGGACAGATCTGGAGCCATGCTAGTGGATATGAAAATCTCTCCTCTTTGGCAAGGAACTAATTGACACACAAAACCAAAACATTTATTTCTTGTTTACTTGTTCTTCACTAGTGGATGGTGACAAAGTCTTAGTTGACATGGCGTGGCAGAGCACTTTACAGTTTGGATTTACCAGCTTAATTCTCCACTTAGCTCTGCCCCTCACCATGACCTCCATTCCAAAGAGCCATGTGTTCCAAGCCTGCCAGCCTGGCTTGCTCACCTCCTAGAGCTCTACAAGGCCAATGAGAAGCACTCCTTGTCAGCTGCTGGCTCCTCTCTGGAGTCCTGGAGGGCCAGACCAAGTAGGCTTAATTGGTGGCATGAGGTACAGTGGTCAAAGCCCGCAGAAGACTTGCCACTGTTCTCCCTTATGCAGGTAGGGACAGATTTCTCTTGTACCCAACAAAAACCACCTCTGATAACACCAGTAAAACCCATACCAGTTCCCTTTGAGTCATTCATCAGCTCTCACTCATGGGAGGGCTGTACTGATGTGGAAACAAAAGCTGTAAGAGCAGTTGGGGGGAGCTGCATACATATTTTGGTTGAAACTCAGATTCCTTATGAATGCGAACAAGATAATTTCTTTTTGCATAAAGCCTTAAAAGTAGCATAAAGATTACACTGTCCTTTAGCTGGGCCTGGAGCCTAACTCAGAAGGTTCTGGGAGCTTGATCCTGGAGCACTGTAAGGGTTGTACTGTAATGAACTCCCAGACTGAACTGGTGCCAAGTGATAGCAAATGTCAGCAGGCACTGTGCCAGTGGGGTATGGGAACCAGACGCGACAGAGTATCTGTGTCTCAGCCAGCCACATGCAGCTCAATCTTTCCATTCACAAAAAAAAACTGAAGCAAGGATCTTGTGTCTTCAGAGCCTGATTGTCTCTCACAACACCACTAACTCACTCCCTTCCATGCTAGGTGCCCAGAAGGCAGCAAGAAGCCGCTGGGGCAGCCCACGATCCTGTACGATTACTCGGAGGAGGAGCTGATGGCCAGCATCGAGCGGGAGTACTGCCGCTGAGCCCCCAGGGACCGGCAGGCACAGCCCGGGGCCAGCCTGAGCACAGCTGCTCTGACACCACAGCTGCACGGCACAGGGGCCTCTGGAGGGGACTGCAGCATCGGGGGCTGCTTGGGAAGCGCTGAGGAGGAAGTTCCCCTGATCAGCTCCCAGGGGGAGCAGGAAGATCCTCACCAGCTGCTGATTTCTGATTGGTGCCACTGCAAGAGGGACCAATTCATCTTAAGAATCAATATTTAGAAGCTCATTTCTAAATGCTGTTTTTAAAGGAACATGTACTAGAATTAATGTCCTGCTAGAGGTGTTGAAATGTGGTGCTTTGAAGGAAGATCCTGCTTTGGACCTAGTAAAAAATTGCAGCAATATCATCTGATCCAGAACTTAAGGAGATGTTGAAGGAAATTCATGTTTCTGCCACTTAAAATGTGACAAATTGCACTTGTGCAAACCTCAGGTTCGGGTCTGAGTTTGGTACTGTCTCTTTCAATCTGGTCCCAATCTGGTCCCCAGTATGGGAGATAAGAGGGAAAGGGGATTGAGCCCACCATCTAGTGCATAGCCAGTGTAATCCCAGAGTTCAAATCCCACCACACTGCCAAATTAGACTCCTGGGAGCCATCAGGGAACACAGGATTTATATGATCCCTTTGGGGCCGGGTCCCAGCATGTGTCCTACCTGGGCATGGATCCATCCCAGTGATGGGAGTGAAAGCAGGAGGCACATCCCCGTTTCAGTCATCCTCCTCAAGGGGTACTTGCCTGCTCTTGTAGAGCAGCTGTTTGGGCTCAGTTTTCAGAGTTGCTACTCCTAGCCTTTCCCTAATATTTCTTGTCCTACAAGAAAAATCATTTTACCATTAGCTGACTGCAAAGTAAACCAGAATGTTCTCTCTCCTAAGGAAATAGTATTTTCAGTGTTCTCAGACAGGGAAGCCTGATATTTTGGGTTTCTGCTTTTATTACATCTGCATGTTAACATATTATGAGTATCTACTTATTATCAGAAGTAGAAAATTACTTTATTTCTATCTTCTGCTGAAGCATAAAAGGCATCAGATGAAATTTTCACTACGTGTAAATGCAAGAAAAAACTACAGGACACCTCTTAAGATGCTGTATTTTAAGTATTTTATGATTCCTGGGACCTGTGAAACACAAATAAATGCATCTATACTCTGAAGCTCTCAGTGAAGGCATCAAATGTTCTGAAAAAGGCTCTCTGAAAAATCATGCTCAGGTACCTGCAGAGACTTAGCAGGATGCATCCCTGGAGGGTGGCAGGTGGGATTCCTGCAGGATGCATCCCTGGGGGATGGCAGGTGGGGTGCCTTGAGGGGGGCACTAGATCACAGCCCTGGCACACAGTCTCACACCCCAGTTGTGTTCCCTGCAGCTGCCTTCAGCAAGGCTGGGCACTGGGAGCTGGGGAGCCCCCAGGCAGCCCAGGGTGGGCAGTGGGAGGGAGCCAAGCTCCCACAAAGCTCTGCATGCTTGGAGGCAGCAGCTCCCAGCACACCAGCTAAGGCATGTCGACAGGACCAGGGATAATAAGGGTTTAAACTGAAAGAGTCTAAATTTGGGTTGAACATAAGGAAGAAATTGTTCACTGGAACAGGTTGTGAGTGCCCCATCCCTGGAAGTGTTCAAAGCCAGGGTGAATGGTGCTCTGAGCAGCCTGGTCTAGTGGAAGATGTCCCTGCTCATGGCAGGGGGATGGGACTAGATGGTCTTTAAGGATCCTTCCAACCCAGGCTGTTCTATGATTCTGTGATACCTTGGTGGCCCAGAAATAGCTGGAGTAGAGAGCAGATGTCCCTGCATTGTTGGGAGAAGTTGGGTGGGCCCTCTGGAGAATGGCTCTCTAACCCTCCTGGAAAAAATCCAGTTTTGAACAATAGCAGTTCTTTCACAGGAACAGTCATTTTTAGACCTATTAATGTCACTGATCTGTGGCAGGATACAGTTTCTCTGCAGTTTATGGAGAGCCCACTCACCAGATCTCCCAGAGCTTGTGTTAGTTTTCAGCAGCTCTCAAAGGCCTACTGGGAGGAAGAGAATCTGCCTGTGGAGAGCAGAAAAAACACGGTGACCCCAGCACCACAGGGGACCACAGTACTCTATATTCCCTTGTAATCACAATAGTGGTTTCTATTTACTTTGAACTTGGATTTCGTTCTTTCAGCTAAGACCTTCCTTCTGTCAAGGTCCCCAGAGTCTCTGGCACATGTGAGGAGATATTTCACTGAGCTGTCACAGCTCCCCCCTCTTTGTGAGCACAGGGCCAGCGGATTGCTGCCTTTTTGGATGGCCTCCAATGACACAGCAAACAGAGGGGAGCCACGCAGCTGTCAGACCATGCTGTGACAGGAGCAGGCAGGGACCAGGGCTCTGCCTCCCCCAGGTCACCCTGCATGTCCCCTGCCTGCCCTTACAGGGCTGCTCTTGGTGACTGGCCCAGGTAACAGCTCTACAACCCATTTCAGACTCTCCTACAGGAAAGCCCAAGTATTCACAATTACAGAAATTGACTAATTAAAAATAACACCTAAGCAGAACATATAGTTAGGCTGCAAAAAAAAAAAAAAAAAAAATCTCTACTGAACACAGCAAAGCACCAGGCTGCCTTATAAAACGAGCTTCTGAAATAACCAAGAGACAAGCACATTTTTGTAGCTGGAACAAAGGTGCAGTGGGTTTCACAGATAACCTTTTCAGCATCACCGGCAAAAAAGAAGGAGCTGCAGAAACACAGGAAGGTCCAGAAAGGAGTGATGCAGCTGGGACAGTCACTGCACCAGGGAAAAGGTGCAAGAAAGAACTTTGGGGATACAAGAAGGGACCTCAAACTGTGGTATGGTCTTGCAGGCTTTCTCAGTGCCATAAAATGATGTGAGCTCAGACCACAGAGCCAGCCAGCACAGACAGCCCACAGCCATCTGTCTTCTCACCCCATGCAGAACAGGATGGTGGTACCCAAGCAGGTTCTCAGTCTGCCCAAGAACTGATGGGGTCTGATCTCCTTCCTCTGGGTCAAACTGCACCCAGCTCCATGCCCAAAAGGGACAGTGGCAGTGGGGCTGGTGCCTGGGAAGCCACAACTACAGTTTAATTACCTAGTGTCAGTGTAACTCTGCTTTTGGTCCATCTTTTGCTCACAGAAAATAGGATACCAAATCATTTGTAGGTGAGTAATAGTATGGAAGCAGTAGCTGTACCCACAACAGATTTCAAGAGAAACTTCTTGAATTAATGAGTTTTTCAAAAAAAGGACAATTACACTATAGAGATCACTGCCACATCTCAGGGATGTTGTCATCTTGTTGCAGGGGTTCCATACTGTTGTCTCCTTATCACAAAAGTTTCCTATCTTCTTAGTGTTTCTTGGGGGCAGCCCCCCAGAGCACTGACTCCTTCTCACAGTAGCCAACTCACTCCAGTTCCTTTCTCAACCAGCCAACTCACGCTTTTATAGCACTCTTCTTCTCATTGGTTACAGCTGTGGCCTGGTAAAGTCAGGCCTGTTCCTAATCTTTGATAATTGCCCAGTTGCAACTCCTTAGGGGTAAGATTACTTTGTATACTATCTTTATTTTCTTATATCCTATCCCCCTACAAATGCTGATATCCAACCAGCTGAATTATTGAAAAGTTTGTTTTCTTTTCATGGTATTTCTCTATAACCACCATCAAATCACAACTGTTTGAAGGACAAGAAATTATTCAGCTTGCCAGTACTTCCTGCCCCTAAAACAGTTTGCTGGAATTAAGCAGGGCTCTGGAGAGTCTCTTACTCATCATTTTGGAAACTACCCTCCTGTTTAATACCCACAGCATAAGACAGGATAGCTGACAAGTGCTTTTGAGCTGACACTATTAATCTCCATTAATGAACCAGCAAAAGGTTATTATTTTTAACCAAATCACTACATTATTCATCTAACAAAGACAAATGCTACATGCTGCATTTTGCACTAGTCCAAAAAGAGCCAGAGAGACTTGCTGAGACAGAGCCTCTGCCCAGCAAGGGGGGCACAGGGGCCCACAGGCCCTGGAGGTGTGCCACAGGAACCTCATGGAGCTGGCCACCACATCTGCCAGCTGCCTGGCACAGACCACATCCACAGCAGGGCTCCCCCTCACCTCCCCCTGGACACAGGACATGGCAATTATTTGCACATGGTGAAGTGGATTTATCTGGGCAGTGAGAACCAACAGAGAAGTCACTCTGAACTCAAGAGATGCTACAAGAGAAACAATTAAACCTAAGGTGTTCTTCTCATCTGGGACAAACTCTCCCAGGAAAGGGTATGCTCCAGTTTCCTCAAGTTTTCTGCATGCTTTCAGATGTGTCCATTGCCTTCTGCACACATCAGCACTTAAGTCATCAATTTCTTCTACACCTGAGGGCTGAAGCAGAAGAGGAGGAAGGCTGAATTTGACAGAGGATCCCAGCACAGCCTGGACTGTGAGGTGTGGCTGAGGCTTTGCAGCTCCCTCCTGGACTGTCTCATCATTTCCTCAGCCTGCAGGTTGCTGGGTTTTGAGTCATGATTTACTCTTGCTGCAGACATGGAAGCAATTTGCCTTCTCCCAGCCAGAGCCTGCCTGCCTCAAGCTGCCTTGCTGGATGTGAATTCAAGGTAAACAGGCAAATGGGCTCACAGGTTAAACTTCAAAACCAGCCTGAAGATTTATCCCTGCAGATGAACTCAAGCCAGAGGCAACCCTGGGGCAGGACTCAGCTCATGAGATGACAGATGAAGGATGTTGGGTACAGATTTCACAGCTGGAAAGAAAAAATTAGCCAGAGGTGTGGCCTCAGCTGGAGGAGCACACCAAGCATGCAGCATGGGCCACCTCTGCCACCTCTGCAGCATCAGAGTGGGTTCACTCTCCCAGTGCCCAGGCTTGAAGAGGATCAGTGCTCATGAGTTTGCAAGCCAGCTCAGGCTGCTGCTCAGCCCAGGGCTTGGCTATACAACCACACAGGGTGGTGTGTG